ATAACATTTCAAAATATTTGGCCTCATTCATATTCTAAGTAAATGCCATGTTAAAAACCGATATATATATATATATATATATATAAATGATAATAGAAAAACTGTAGTTATTGCTGACGCGTTTCGTCCAATTTGGACTTTATGAAGGCAAAAAACGAAATGAATTTAATTAAAGAACGTAACTAATAATAACAAAAAACAGTTACGTTCTTTAATTAAATTCATTTCGTTTTTTGCTTTGATAAAGTCCACATTGGACGAAACGCGTCAGCAGTAACTACAGTTTTCCTATTGTAATTTATATTTATAAATATTGTCTTTTCTACAGGTTAACTCTGAGAAATTTTCATATATATATATATATATATATATGTATGTATGTATGTATGTATGTATTCAGCATGCTTCACCCTATCCAGATCCCGGGAATCACTCGTGAAATATGATCATGTTAAAAGGTAGTCAAAACGCATAGAAGGGGGAGATAACGGTTAACCCTAGACTTGAACAGGTTAAGATTGTAGTGATCAGAGAAATATCCTCTTGGGAGTCGGTTCCACATAGCAGTGGTACGTGGGTAGGAGCTTTTCGAGTGAAACTGACTTTTCATCGATGGAATACGGAGGGAATTGGATGAGTTTCTGCAATATAATTGCCATGGCGTGTCCTACCCGTGAACGATGGACATGGCGGCACAAAGGAATGCAGTTCGCCCGGGAACTTTCCATGGTAGTAGACACAGAGCAGCTAGGAGCCCGCCACATCTCGCCTGTGAGAGTGACATTGTAGCGTGGCAAATAATTCGTTAACCCAAAGGACTGGGAGACGATTTTGAACTCTATAGAGACTGGGAGGTGAGCCTGAGCAGCTCGTGTCTAAATATGACACCAGTACTTCATTTTCGGTCTGATTTAACTCTTGTAAAGGCAGAGGATAGCATGATGGGGTCGGGTACTTACTGGAGCGGTACAGGAAGCCAACCACTTTTCTTGTATCTTTGGCGATGGGTCGTCGGTAAAAGTTCCATTTGAGGTCAAGGGTGAGTTTAAGTCCAAATAGTCTCACAAAGATATGTATGTGTGCACGTGTGCGTGCCTGTATGTATGTATGTATGTATGTATACATATATACATATACAAAATAAACTCAATTATTTCTCCTGCTTACACAAACATTACTTTGATCATTTATAGGTTTATGCATAAAGCCTTGCTTGTCGAAACTTCTAAGGAATATTCATAAATAACGAACCGTTAAAATATGCACAGGCATTACATTTCGGAGAAAAGTAAAAGAAGTAAATGAAAAGGAAGAATGAGTTGCTAACAGTTTAATGATCTTTTCAACGTATAAAACTAAAAGGAAAGTGCACCAGTATCGATACGTTAGACATGAAAGTCTTGCCTGAGAAGATTAAAACATTGTGGCACGTTTTTGTTTTATATGCGTAGTAATTCTGGTAATTAGGCCTTTGAATTTATTTAATAAAGGCCCATCTTAAATGTCGTGTTTATAAAAATGAATGCAAGATGACAGTGTTAAGAAAAGCAGTTAAACTTTGTTCTTTATTTTCAACATTATATTTATAAACACTTTATTCTTTAAGTTTTCTTGATCGTGCGTCCATGAAAGACTAGATCATATACCTAAGATATTGCTATTAAATTTTCATCCAAAGTACATCATATATTTTCGCGTACAATTAGTTATCGTGTATTAGTCTATGCTTGAATCATGCTTAACAAATTCATAACCCACGCCAGGGTAGGTTAAGAAAAATAGTGCGACACATTTATGTTTCGCTGTAGAAAATATGCAACTATGTAGTCGTTGTTGTATACTAGTAGTAAGTGTTGTAATGTCGAAATGCCAGCCGTGATATCATATCACGATCACGTGTCTCGTTACCGATTAGGTTCGTAGGGGAACCACATGTACAATGGTGTTTCTGGTCAAGATAGCGAGACAGAGATCAACCCTCTCCAGGCTGATTTGAATTCAAAGTCTTTACTTTTTCTAGAGTAATCGCCAACCAAGGCTGTTTACCTAGAACTGGAGGGAGAAGATATGGATTCATACCTTTTCCGAGTGTATATGAATGTAATAAACTCAATTAGAATTCAAACACGACTCACCGATTCTCCCGTCCGAGCAGATATCCATTACTCCTATCATATACGATTTAGCAGTATGCCCTGCTATTAATTTCTAGATCAGAACCTACCTGTATTTAATACTGGAACTCTGATGATCAAAACCTAGTCATTATTTCTGGGAGCGAAATGATCAGCAGTTACGAATAATGTCAGTATGCTCCGGTCGTTGGTTACGATGACTTGTGACTTCGTGCCAAGCGAACTATCGACGGTTTAAAAGCAATTACGTCTACTTAATTTCATTCACAACACTAGGGTCAACCAGTGGTATATTTTTAAGCACTTTTCACAAGTGCCGCACCCTGGGATAACATCGAGAAATTACCTCCCTGATAAATCGTGAAATTCGCTATTTGATATCCAGGTCTCATAGTGTGAAAGCGAACATTTCAACCACTGGAGCACACACAAACACACACACATACATACATACATACATACATATATATATATATATATATATATATATATATATATATATATATATATATATATTACATGAATCATTCATACAAAAAACAGATATTGAAGTTAATGATATAAATGGCGAGAATATATCTTCGCAAACAAATTTAATAAATTACATTAACCCTGAACCTATAGATGAATGTTATGATCCCTGTTTATATCATTAAATTCAATATCTGTTTTTTGTATGAATAATTCATGTAATGTAAAATTGAACTGCACCACATACTTGATATATATATATATATATATATATATATATATATATATATATATATAAATTATTCACGTGTAGTTTATAACACCCTATTTATCATCTCTCAGCTGCGTCTCAGGGGCGGATCCGTCAAAGGACAGAGACGCAACTGAAAAAAATTATGCTGAGAGGTGGCGACGCTGGGGAACAGTTGAACGAGGTCGCGCCATCTCATTGCACCAGAGAGAGGGATCGGTGCTCGCACCGAGACCAACACAACCAACGGGGGCTCGGGCAATTTTTGTTCCTAGACCGGGTGTACGCGCTCGGGATCCCCACATTAAACCTACCTTGTGTCGCAACCTGACTTCATGGGAAGGTTAAGTAAATACAAATATCTTGGGAATATGATAGCAGCGTGCAGCACTTAGAAAATGACTAAAAATAATACCCCCGCTTGTGAGTGAAATTAATTGGAACGAACAGTTCGTAATACCCTTAGGAAAGTATGAATCCACCTCTGGATGGGTTAATTAGTAGGACATTTTAGCAGTAAATTATAATTATCTCAAAAATAGTCTTGCAGTCTAAAATATTTTCTGACTTTGCATATCGATCACTAGGTTGAAAGGCCTTAAAAAAACAAATCAATCGAACATTAGTGCATCATTTTCATAAGGTGTCTGTTTTATCGACTAAACAAAGACGTATAAATCCTCCTCCGTCTCTTTTGAACCCCGTCGTATAAACGCGTGAAATTCTTCATTTACTCTACTTGCTTATTTAGCAGCAGTTCTATAACGTATTTTATTTGTTGTACGAGACCTTATAAAAAAATATCAGGACTGGTGCTATAAAAATAAAACTACAACCTATATCAATTCCGTATTTAATCTCTTTCGAAGCAGTTCCCACTTGAATGGACACACTCTAGCGTCGTTTCTATTGATGTAACAATTCTTAACAATCATTATTTTTTGCGATAGCGGGCAGCTGCCTCGATACATTTTCTTGGATTTCATTCACATCTTGTAAACATTATTTCTTTCAAGTGGGATTTCATTTTTGGAATGAGGAAAAGGTCTTAAGGGGCGAGGTCTGAGGAATAGGGTGATGGTTAAAACTGGGCAATCTTGTCCTTGAGCCAAAAACTGTTGCACAAGCCATGTTAACTGATGTATCTTTTGTAGTATGGTGAGACCACCACACTGTACGCACCTTCATTCCGTGCACTCCCATAAACAACTGTAGTGTGTCAGAACGTTATAATTTCACGTGCATGCGTGACAGTGTTCACGGTCAGTCGATGCCAAGCGACCTTCCCTCTGCGTACTTTAGCAAAGAGATTCGATAATTCTGAATCAGACCTGGTAACATCATATATTTAGGGTGTTCTACAGATTATATAAATAAATATATATATATATATGTGTGTGTGTGTGTGTATGTGTGTGCGTTTGCGTGTATGTGTGTGTGTGTGTGTATAAATATAAATATATATATGCATTTTATATATATATATATATTATTTACCCGATATCCAGCCGGTTTTATCTGTTCATATCGAACACTATAATTACAAAGTGTGATAGACTTAAAATAAAACATTATCTTCCAGAATCATTTTTTGTGGGTGGGGGTTAATAAATCTTTGATTTCCTTATATATATATATATATATATATATATATATATATATATATATATATATATATATATATATATGGTGGGGATGAACTTAGATAAGAGCTTAATTGCGTGATGTGTTCATATCAGCGACTGCGCCAGTATACATTTAAGTGTACAAAGTTTTTAAACCGCTGATCCAATCCCACTCATAAGGTTTCCCATTCATGTTTGATAAAACGAAAATAGCCATATACTTTTCACAATTAAATTTCCTTCAAACCAAAAACATTACGATTTTCTTTCAACTAATGCTCAATTATTTTCAATTACGATTTACATAAATTCATTTCACACGAACTACTTGCTGATTTACCTGCGATAATATTGCATTATCTTCTTCTTCTTCTTCTTCTTCTTCTTCTTCTTCTTTTTTCTATGTGCCATGCTATTAAACCTGTTTTTAGTATAGTTTGATAATATTGTTGTCTGATACTAGTTCGTTGTCTTGTGAGTATCACTTTTCTTCTTCTTAAAACATTTTTTCATGTTCAGTTTCTTCTTCTTCTTCTTCTTCTTCTTCTTCTTCTTCTTCTTCTTCTTCTTCTTCTTTTCCTCTTTTTGTTACTAACAAGATTTCCCTCTTTCTTTATACTTTGCTTAGATTTTATAAAGTATCTGTCGCTATCCCAATGCGGAATTCAGTGTCACACTTTCTGTCCTCTGTTAAAACACTTCCCAGATATTTACATTTTTGTGCTTATTTGATTTTGGTTATTCCAATTAGAAATTTGCATATTGAACTTTTGTTTTTGCTATAACTCCTCTTTAAATACACAAATATTACAAACATCCTGCAACGATGACGCGGGTTTATGTCTACCTTTATGAATATGCAACTTTCGTGTTTCTTATGCTAATATATTCGTTGTTTTCTTGCGTGTATAATACCCAGGGGAACAATTATCAGTTAACTTCATTCAGTATTTGTCAATATGCATCCCGTGATGCAAGAAACGTATATAATCGTCATGTTGAATAAAACAAAATATCTTAACGCAACGAGAAGAATGGACTCTATTGCATATATAAAATTACGCGATACAGCTGTCGTCTGCAGTCATTATTTCTCCAGAGTGTTACATATAAAGAGCAAAAATTATAGAGCATTCTTAGAAATATACACATCTTTTTTACTGTTCCTGAATATCTGCTTGGTATTGTCATTTTTTTAATCATTTCACGCAAAGTTAGGCGAGAATGCCACTTCTACACAGGGGGCTAAAGCGAGTGAAAGTGGGAGAAAAGACTGGCGAGAGAGTGTTGAGAAAAAGATAAAACGATGAACGGGATTCAAGAAGATAGAAGATGGCGATTGAATTTTTGAAGATCATAGTTATCAGGGAATCAAATAAACAGAAGGGATTTCCGCACGTGGTAATTTCTAGAAAAGAAACTGTTGGAGTAGAAGTGGCGCTTATATTTAACTATTTCAACAGTAAAATGGTGGGACCTAGACGCCAATCTAGTAGCACGCTTAAATTCATGTAGTCGAGCAGCAGGGAAAAAACATGTCAGAGCAGTTGGCATGAAAATATTTGTAGAAAAGACAGAGGGAAGCAACATTACATCTGTGAGAAATTGACTGAAGTCGAGATGTCAAGTAAGGATCGATTACATTGCCAATCTGTTGTGTCCTTGTTTGGGCCAGAAATAAAGACACAAGAGAGGAATTGAAATAAACAAATATATTAACAGAAACAGTAATACAAACATATACAAACGAGAGTGTTTCAGCAAGAATGTTCGGTATGACTGTCAGAGCTTACTCCTAGAACTTCCCCCTCCAAAAGGCAGTACCAGCTCTTATTTATAGCTAGGAGAGTCCAAGCGTGCGTGGATAAATTGCCATAATATATATATATATATATATATATATATATATATATATGTATAAAAGGCTTAAACACTAATATTCTATGGTCATAATTTATTCCATTGGAATCGTAAATACGATCCAATTCATCCTGACATATAAATAAGGGACTAACCCCACTTTTGAAATGGAGATACTTATCAAGAGATAGAACACCTAATAACTTCCGCGATCGGTGTGATCTGTGCATGGCGGAAAAAAATTATTATCAAAGATAAGAATTAAGATGAACTGCTGAATCTTCGTAATGAGATATTTTCTAAATGTAGACATAAGAAACGATTCAAAACATAAACACCGTTTTGTAACATGTTGTCACTTATGTCAGTTCCATCTTGGTTCAATAGCATCGGGAATGGCATTTTAATGGAATGACTATTATGTTTATTATGTTTATCTCTATATATATCATTGGGTATGCTTATGTGATGCGCTATGTATTTAGTTTTTAGACCAAATTTTTGAAATTTTACTTTTTTAGATTTTACATTTTAATTTATATATATATATATATATATATATATATATATATATATATATATATATATATATATATATATATTAGCTGTGTGTGTATGTGTGTATATATGGGGGATATTCTCAAAAAGATACCGCCTTGACAATGGTGGGGTTCGACCCCGGATCTCATGGTTGGAATGCTAACCTTATTAGCACTCGCTCACGTGCCCAATAAAGACACATTTGACGAGTGACTAAATGACAAGCAGGTACGGAAAATATGTAAAAATTGCCATATATTAAAATTATTTATGGAGAGATAGGCAAAAACAAAATTAAAAGGATATTATGGAAAACGCTCTTGTATTCAGTATTCATTTTTCTCATATACAACATACTTATATATAGTTTAAATTAAAGCATGGACATAGTTGGATAATTAGAAGGGATAAGGGCATGAACGAGATGATACAGGTGAAGGAATACAAAATACAAAGGCATGAGATAATAGATAATCTGATTTGTGTCAACATCCTTGGAATTTCCAATGTCCCAGCTAGTAAAATAATCAATAACGCCCATCTTAAACATTCGTGCGTGACGAGAATAAGACCCAATTATAACGTTCGCACACAGCAACTCCAAAATCTAATTATTAACTGTATCAAACGCTTCCAAAACTGACAACTGTCTGTTTTGTATTACGATCCAATGACAAGAAGGCACACAACAATGTTCTCAGCTCTAACGCTCTACCAGAATCCCATGGTAATAACAGAACGTGTAGGATCTTGTGACATTGACAGGCTAAAGGCAATGTTTGCTTTCTGATAGAAAAATAATCTAATAATCAAAGATGCTTTCCTAAGAAAAACATGACAAAGTGAAATCTTCTGCATGTCAAGATCCGACAGATTTGACCTGGAGAAGCGGAGGTCAAACGATGGATGACAAGTGAGTAATTCAGAGCTTTGAATGTGAAAGGGAAAAAGGAAATTATAGAAATATTTAAACATGGAAAAGTATATTTATTGGGTTCAGAGGTTGAATTTTTCGAATTTAATACAAAAGGTTTCTTGCTCCTTCTAAAGGTCGAAATGACATTATACAGCAAATAGCCCTCATTAACAATGTTTTAAAACAAAATTGCATTTTTTTAAAACTTTCAAAAATATCAACCTAAAAAGAATTTAAAAATAAAATAAAATACATATATATGTGTGTGTCTGTGTTATTTTAATTGCGAAAATAAATATGTGTATGTATTAAATGAGAAAAATATGTAAATGGATGTACAACATACAGTTTAGTTATTTATCTAAAGATACAGTTTCTCTAATATTCTAATATACTCATATATTTTTTCGCGCGTTATAATTAGTTGCACATATGATAGAACTATACTGTAAATAACGCTTATATCAATTCCTCGTAGCTGACAGTTGTTTTTTGTGGGGGGGGATTAAATCAACAACATGTACATTGTGTGCCGAACCTTGCGAAAAATGTTTACCTGAAATGATTTCAAGGTTCAGTCATCCTTTCACAGTCTTTTTCCAGTTATTTTTTAAATGCCGCTAGGAATGACATAATTTACTTGTGCAGGGAACAGTGGAGTTTGGGAATGGCAGTAAACACAACGACGAGAGAAAACCGAAGCTTCTTCTTATTATTATTCTTCTTCTTGTGCTAACTGCTTTCAAAACTCCCTGTACATTTTGTTGCTCTTGATAATTTTAGCCTTTTACTATCCCTCTTTGTACTTGGTCTGCCATCCATTGACACAGGTACGTTACAGACATCACTCGATACTTTCTTTTGTAACAAGCTAATAATCTTCACTATGTCAGGTGAGTCTTACATATTCTATAGCCATTCCTCATCATGTGTCCCAAACATTTCAACTGTCTCTTTCTGATTGCAAGTATCAGTTTCTTTGTTGTTCCTATATTTCTTAAGACTTCCTCGTTGTTCACATGCTCTGCCCATGATAATTCTAGATTTCATCAGTAAAACTGCATCTCTTCAGAACTCATTTTATTTGTGAGAACATTGTCCTTACTTACCCGATTTAAACTCAGTCAATGTTAATAAAAACGTTATTACCATTTTATTTTCTCTGTTGATAAACGAGTCTTCGATATGACGATAAACTACATTTATCAGCAAGGCCTCTGATAGAGAGACTGAAGATTCTAAGGAGCGTGGAACCACCTCTCAATTGCTGTTTTTCCAATGTCCACTATGACCCGGGTTGGTAGCACCTGTTAGGGCCCCAGCTATGTGAACACCAAGCACAGCAAAATACTATGAAAGTGTGACAGTGCACTGTTGTCCTAAAAATATCAGCAATACATATTTGTAGTGAAATTTTAGTAAAATTACCTGCAATAAATTTTTAGAGTAAAAATGTATAATTAAAGTAAAATTACAAACAATACATTTAAAAAGTAAAATGACTAGCGATAAATTTTATAGTATACCATATAGTATAGTATATTTTATACCAATAATGCATTTTATAGAAAAATGAGCAATACATTTTATGTATATGTTTTATCTGTAGTTGAAAGCATACAATTATATATATTTATTTACTTTAAAAATATTTAGATTTCGGCATTAAATAATCCATAGAGGTTGATATACCGTTAAAGAAAATCAAGCAACCAATCTACTGCTAAAATATTATATGTCACTATGCAATCGTTAAAATGAGCGGAATATTGATATCATCGATTAATTAAGCAGGCAAATTTATAGTTATTTACATATCTTAGCATAATTCTAGTAAACTGCACAAGTATAAAGCACTCAGTGAGGATCAAACTCTCTACATAATAAAACATATTCTGGACAGTATTTAGCTATGATAGTATACTATTTTAGCTAAGCCGTAAAAATAGATGTATATAAAGTTGTTATTTTAAGTCGTTACTGCTATTGGGTTTTCACATGTGAGTTTTTTTAATATATTTTTCCAGTTGCTAACATATATTAATTCTTTATTACCAATATATTGCTTAGTAACGATATAAAATTATTTTCCGTCCAGTAGGATCTTATATTAGCTTTGGTTTACTCATGAGTAAAAAATGTCGATACATACCTATATATGTATAAGATTTAACAAAATACACATTATACATACATATATATATATATATATATATATATATATATATATATGATGTGTATTTTGTTAAATCTTTATTACTATTGGACTCACTTTTTCT